TATATATTACCTTATGGATAATAATCTCCTGTTCATGCGCATGCGCTGGTCGGGCCCAGTCATGCACATCTTTTAACAGATCTGATACCTACTTGCTCAAATAATCGTCGAAATCATCCATAGTCACGGGCTGCATTGTAGTAGCGCCCACGGAGTCGTGCTCCTCGAGAGATCCCATGACCTGAAGGAAGGACTTCATCCAGTAGTTAACATCATATATCCTCTCACGCCGACGTAAGTGATTCATTCTTAATGTGCGTTCGTCTTCGGGCATGGTGAGCGCCCTATTAAAATCAGTGTTTAAATCTCGTTTTACTTCATTGTAGACTATCAAAGTGCATCTTAATTAAAACTGGAGTACAAAATATAGAAGAGTGAAACTTTGATTCGACACAAATAGTATATAATTAATTTTATTTAAACAATTTCCTTATGTTTTATTATTAAAACGGACAGTCATGTACCTGTGAATCACCTCCGCGGCCTCGTCGATCTCATAAGGATTGCAAATCAAAGCTTCATGCATCATTTCGCCGGCTCCAGCGAAAGGCGACACTATCAGCACACCTGGCGGTGTATTGATTTGACAGGCAACGAATTCCTTGGCGACTAAATTCATACCGTCCCGGAGTGGTGTGACGAGAGCGACGGCGGCATCCCTGTAGAACGCCGCTAGCTCGTCCTGACTCACGCAGCCGTAAATGTAACGTATGGGCGACCAATTGGGTGTTGTGAAGCGACCGTTTATGCAGCCGATCAGTTGATCCATCTCGAGCTTCAAATCCTGATACTCGCGGACGTCCGTGCGTGAGGGTACTGCGATTTGAAGCATCGTCACCTAACATACGCCACGTGATTGAATATGATATACTGTTCAAAATAGCATCGGCAACTACTTTTGCGAAACAAGAGCTCGCGAATAAGCGTATTAGATAATGACCTGTTCGCGATGCTCGGGATGTTTCTCTAACAGCATCTCGAAGGCCTTTAATCTGTGAACCAGGCCCTTCGTGTAATCGAGTCGATCGACGCCGAGGACGATCTTCTGATTCGACTGCATGACTTTTGTTGCGGTCTCTGCCAATGAAACGAACCTATCGAATGGTATACCGATAGGCAGCGGTCTTACCCGCACCGTTCTACCACCATGTTCAACCAGTAGGTTCTTACGATCCACTCTGCAACCGAGACACCTCTGGCAGCAATCGACGAAGTTCAGGCAATAATCCTGTATGTGGAAACCCACCATGTCGCATCCTAAGCGTCGCCACAAAGGGAATCACGTTAGAAATTCGAGAGAAGTTATTCAAGACAATCTACGCGATATCACTCACCCAGCATACCCTGCAGGATTTCGTCGGCCCACGGGAACAGCCTGAAGATATCCCATGGAGGAAAGGGTATGTGAAGGAAGAAACCTAATTTAAGCTTGAGATCCTTCTCTTCGGCCGCCTGTCTAATCCAATTAGCGGCTAACATCAAGTGATAATCATGGACCCATACCAATGGCGTTCCGTTCTGCTGGTTCTCTTGTTCCTTATGAATTTGTTCCAGTGCACCAACCTACGTCAGACAGAATCGTTTGGGAGAGCTGATAAATCATTTAATTATTACGATCATATTTCGAGAATACTGAGTATAGTATTTCTTTATAACAGCACTTAGCTCATAATTATTATAATTTCTTTTCGCAGTGAGAGAATAATAAATATTATTATAACGTTAGATATTACTACATTTGCATCTTACTGAAAAGGAAATATTGAATTAAAACTAAATTGCGAGGTCTAACGACGTTGAGGATGGGAATTAATGAGATAATGAGTGGGAGTAAAAAATGTTCTCAAACTGCAAAAACGCGATCAATATCACAAGTGTAGAATCATACTGTCTTCGCGGCGAACTGTTCGTTGACCGCGGAATACGCGCGCCAGTGTTCCGCGATGAAGGTCGCTCGATCAGGCATAGAATGGAAGAGAGGCCAGAAGGTTCCATTGCAGCATCCGTTGTAGTACGAGTCAAAGATGCCGGCATCAACGTGAACCGCTACTACCTGAAAGTAAAGAGAGAAAGAGATTGAGATGAGGGAATATCTCATCACGTTTCTCCGCAATCATTCACAATTATTCGCACTCGATACGTATTTCTGTCGACATTTCAGAATACGGAAAGTCTTGACAAATCTGTCAGTGAGTATAATTGTTTTTAGGTGCTCCACCACCTGTAAAATAAATAAGTAATGTCGTACAGCCGTGCATGCACATATGGTTATTAATAACAATAATAATTATTATTATTAATGATATTATATATTAATTATTAATTATAATAATAATCATTGTTAAATATATGATTACATGGTCATTTAGAATAATAATGTCTAGCAATAATCATATTTAAAATCATAATTATTGCGTGCGTTTCGATTCCTTTTATTTATATTAATTCACAAAATAAACATTAAATGACTTAACTTTGTGTATCATTATGTCATTAATAATAATAATAAGTTAATACATTAACAAATACATTAATACGATATGAATACTACGAACTGTAATTTGTTAACTTTTTTATTCTCCTTAACCAGCTCGTATTATTTTCTTTAATTAGATTTTATATGTATCGAATTTGTGATTAACAAATAAGAAATCAAGCAGTCGATTATTCTCTTCATATTCGACTGTGTGATTGGCCAATATATCTCACGACTTATTAAAACTTATTAAACCTATTGTATGTTTCAGGACTTACCGGTTCTCTCCTGAATGTCACTCGTTATCCCGCGAAATTCTGTTATTTTGCCAGCGACATTGCCTTCTTTATTTCCGATTGCTCGCGTGAAAACAGGCCGTGCCAAGAAAGATCATTCCTGACGTAAATGAGCAATCGCTGACGGGCGATAATGCGGTTTAATACTCCTACGATAGACATAATCAACCGCGGCCTGGTCGGCGGTTTGTTATTTCTCCGGACGGATATCGCCGCTTTACGGGCACATTAATTAAGAGAGGTCAGGGAAAGCGACGCGGCTCTCTTTATCCGTACATGCGTCCCCGGATTGGGAGATCGTCGCGCATTGTTTTATCGCTCGAAAAAGAAAAATCTCGTGCTCGTACATCGTCGAAGTTGCTTAACCGCGTCTCACGATAAAACATACGTCAAGTCACCGACAGTGAATTCTTTAATCGTCGAGCGAGATCGGGAAACAAGCGATGACCTCGATCGATTTTAATTTGAGGGATCGTGGGGTCAGAATTGTGTTTAAAAACGCTGCCGCTTCAAATTACGAACGCGTCACGTTAAAGCGCGTTACAAATGCAATTAAAAGAATCTTAACAGTTGTATTTACGGCGATTAGGTTTCTCAGGCAAGAGGTCTAATTAAATTTCGTGCAAACGATTTGAGAAATACGCAATCAAGAAATTTCAAATTGATTGACTTGTTATCTAACAATTGCGAAGAAAAGATTTTAAAAAACATTGAATGTTATTTGCGAGAAAAGATGCTTGGAAATTGAAAACAACAAACAAAAGATTTCGTATACTAGTTCTGACTGGTACGCTGATTGATATACTGACGTATATCATCCGCGGCGCAATTTTTTTCGACGATGATCTCAGATCTTCCTCATTATTAACATAATTATCTTTGTTATTTAGAAATAGCCGGAGACTCAAAATCGCAAAGGCGGATTATTATGAAAATATGTATCTTGCATCTCTGTTTCATCCAACGGTCCAGTTTAAGGGAATAATGAAAATATTTTACGAAATTTTTTACAAATAATTCTCGTAATTGCTCGTTATCGCGTGTCTCTCAAGCGTGACATGGCATGATAGTCGGCTTTCCCCCCTTGCAGCGTTGTTTTTCCTTCTCATCTTCTTTGTTTCCTATATGCTCGTTGTGTTATGCAAACATATTATTGAACGGCCAGTGATAGACGGCAAAATAGGGCGGCTGAGCAACGGACGACGTATACAGCTACTGACGAAACGCTAATGATAGTAATGATGAAATCAATGCAAGGCGGAAAATTAAGTTGCAGAATAAAGTAGGAGGAAGAACTTTTACAATAAAAAAAACAATTTGTTGGCGTCGATAACCCAGGCGGTATCGCTGATCGATGTGAAAATCAACAAGTCGTTGCTTTTATTGCCTCCACGTAATTAGGAAAACTTTTCTGGAGAACAAGAAAGATAATATCCGTGCACACTGCACATTTGTGTAGTGTTTAATTCTACCTAATATAAAATAAATCCAGAAAATATATTTTGGACAAAAAGTCCGAATTTAGAACGTAAGACATCCTAAGCGGCGTCTGCAATGAGATTTAAAGACATAAAACTTAAGTTTTAAGTCTCAAATCATAAAAAATAACAATCAGACGAATGTGAGAATAATTAACTATAATTATTCTCTCAAATTTGTTTAATTGATTCAATTTCTCACACTTAAGGTTTAAATCTTATCTATCGCATTAAAAGCACTTTACGAGAATGATCTAAAAGACGTCTAAATGCATCTAAGGGTGCGATCCATTTAAAATGCTTTGAAACATTTGTAGCATCAAGTGAACCGTAGCCTAAAAGATAAGATAAAGATGTCTTGTAAGACGTCTTATGTCCTGATTTTGGATTTCGCGTTTGAGAAGAGAGACTTTCTAAATAAAGTATCTCTTTAAAAAAAAAAGCATCTCTCTGAAAAAAGATACCTCTTTAAAATAACTATAATAATAATATAATCCTTTCCTTTATATTTTCACAGCATCGAGTATCAAGATACATAAAGCTTTTATATTTCTATTAGTTTGAAGTCATTATTTGTAATCAAAATAATAATTATTTATATAATTATTATTTTAATTATACAAGTAATAACTTCTCTCTGTTGGTAATTTTTTGAGAATACTTGCTCAAATAAAATCGTAATCGTGATTTGCATAACGGATATATCAAACTAGTTGACGATTTTTTTCTGTTTTAGCCAATTACGACTCGTTATATCGTGATTGTTTGAAGTAATACTGGGCAACCGTTAATCGTAATCGTCATTTCGTAGTCGGGCATAAAAAAATTAATACTTCTCTGGGATTAGTGTTGTCTTCTCTCCTTTCCTCTTTTGCCGAGTAATTTAATGTCGGCTGAGTAAAGAGCTGCGAATTTGTGTGAATTTCACGTAACGATAATAATCGTTCGTCGCCACGCAGCCTGCCGGTCGCGCCGGGCTTAATCACCGTCCTGTTTTATTTAACGATGTCGAAGGCTATCGAGGCTATCGCTTGGACATCATTATCGACAATCTTGAAGACTCTTGCGGCGATTCACGTGATCCATCGCAACGTTCGCGCGTGGGTGTATATATGATGTCCGCTAATTCGTTAATCACCGACATAGCATACCGACAGCTAGCTAAAAATCATTATTTCACAAACGATAGGCAAT